GAAGTATGTGGGCCAGCTGAATGGAGTCCAGGCTGAGGCATGGGGAAGGCACGACTGATTCTAATAAACATGTCAAATACACTAAATAAATACACAGACACACAGAGCGAACCCGGAACCGAGACCCCGCGGGGCCGGAGCCGGGCGCCCGGAGAATGACTGGAGAAAAGCCGGAAGCGGAAGGGAAGGGGCGTGGCCTGAGGCCCCGGAATCGGTGAGTGACGGGACCCTGGAGGAGAGGGGCGGGGTGCGGCGGCCGCTAGATTGCAGCAAGAAGGACTCAGGAGAGACTCTAGACAGGCTTTTTGGAGAATATGAAAAAGAACCCTCTCCACCCCCCTCGCGTCTCGCATGAAGATGCAGCATCCCCTTCCCTTTCTGCTCTATATAAAGCAAGTCCAAGTTTCCAATTATTTATTCATTCAACAAACATTTCATAGTGAAATGGGCGTAGCTCAGTAACAAACATTTCATAGAGACATGGACGGATTATTCCAGTCCACCGTGTCCCAACCGTCCTCTGGCTTAAATCATGGTTTGCTCCTCCAGGGAGCCTTTGGGTGCTACATGGACCTGCCAGGGGGCTGGACAGGGGAAGGGGCGAAGGGGGGTGGAGGAGTGCTGCTGGGAGCTGAACAGCTGGAGTCCTTGGCACAGCCTGGAGGACTCTGGGCCCACAGCCATGCCAGGTTCCAGTCGTCCTGCAGGGAGCAGACTTGCCTTCTCAGGGAAGCAGAAATGTCCTCTGGCTGTCCCACACTGGTCACATGTGTCCTGTAGCTTAGCTGCTGTTTAACTTAAGACTCAGTGGTCTAACACCTAGGGGGTGAGTAGCTTTGAAGTCTTGAAGGGCAGAGAGGCTTTTGGAGGGAACTGCTTGGCATCTAGCTTGTCCTTGTACTGTAGCTCTGGGGTAGCCAGGCGCTCACACTCCTCCTGGTCTTGGAGGCTCAGTCCGCTCCGGAGTGCATAGCCCAAAACCTTACCTGACCCAAACTGGAAAGGGCGGAACCGTCGGTCAGTGATGTATTTGGGGTCTAAAGCCTCACCCCCCAGCAGACAATGTTTAGCCAGGGCCTCTCGGCGAGCCCTGAGCTCTGCCACTGCACTCTCCAGCCGACCCTGGCCGTACTGTTTTATTCGTGTCCACAGACTGCGGTTGAAGTGAACATAAAGAGCCCAGTCCAGATTGTTCCAGACTCGAGCCCGCGCAGTTAGTTGCCTGTCCTCAGCGGTCAGTCCACCATGGCTGACAGCATTTCCGCCCTGTTCACTTCCAGCCTGGGCATTGTGCATGAAGCCCACCACATCATCTAGACCCCAGCACAGGGCATCTGCCAGCAGAACCAATGACTCGTCAAAGTACTCGGCCACCAAGACCAAGTCAAAGACAGAGTCCAACCAGGCCAGACTCCACTGGATGAAGGATGAAGACCCCAAATCTAAAGCAGCGGGACTGGACGTCTGGCTGTGACCATCAGCAGTGGTGGGAGCAGGGTGGAAGAGAGCATTGGGATCCAGGGTGTGGGCTCGAGAGCCAGTGCCAGAAGGCAGGACGTGCAGCTCTCGGGGGTTGGGGTCTCTGGGGAGATGAGGATATCCTCTCTTGGTCCTCATCTCTGGGGGGAATGGGAGGCCAAAGTCAAACCATAGCAAGTTGCGTGCATAATGGTCTCCACGGGCCCCAGGTCGGTAGAAGGCTCGAGGATTAGCTAGGAAGGCAGCCAAGGAAGGTGCCTTGCGGAAGGCTGATGAGGTGGATTTATAGTAGGAGAAGGCAGAGCGGGCCAGAGCCGCTGGGTCTCGGACAATGGAAAAGAAGAAGCTGTCAGAAGGCATGACCTGAAGTACCTGCAGAGGAGAGAAAACAGTCATGGGGAGAAAGAAGTGGGCCAGGAAGAAAAGAAGTGTGAGCCCAATGCCTGAAGATCTCCCAGCCTCCTGACAGCTCTAATAGGAACCCCCAACTTTTTTCACTAGCTGACAGATCTTGGGCAAGTTACTAATGTCTCTGAGACTCAATTTGCTCATCTACAAAATGGGGATACTTCTATCTTCCTTCTGAGCTCATTATAGAAGTTACATGGATTAAAGAATATGAAAGAACCTGGAACGTGGGAAGCTCCTGGAGAACATGTATTTCCTTTGGCATTACTGTCTGCCTTGGTCAGTAAAATCTCTAAGAAGCAAACTTTGTGTTCACTTCTCCAACAAAAAAACTATTAAGAGTCTACCCTGGGACTCTTGGTCCCTGCTCCAAAAAAGAAACTGGGCTCAGGCCTCTTCAGTGGGGGTGAGGATCACTGGCAGCAAAGAGGGAAGAGAGGGGCAACCATAATGCTGTCTCAGGTATAGGGGTCAGGTGGGCAGACAAGCCCAGGGTGGCTGAAGGACAGGGCACTTCTGGGGCTCCCGGGCATCTTGGAGAGCAAGACACTTCTGGACTGGACACCGGGGAGCCATGGTCACCTTGGAGGGAGTTGCCCTGAGGCCTGGAACATTGGATTTCACTTCTCAGCAAGAAGGAAGGTGGGAATCAGGTTGAGCCAGGCAGGTGCACATTAGAAACCAGCTCCCGGGCTCCCTGAAGGGTTTCTGCCTCTGAATGTGACTGTCATTGAACCTGACTCTCTGACATGAAGTCCTCCAATCTGCTCTGCTATTATGGTCAAGAGTGCAGGGCAGAGCAGTGAACTGTGTCTCTTTGAAGGAAGAAGAGAACAGTGCAGAGAATAATCTGTGGCATCAAGTGGACCTAGAATAAAATCCCAATTCAGCCATTTACCAGTTAGGTAACTTTGGGCAGTTTATTGAACTTCCGCCATCTATAAATTGGGGTTGACACTTACCTTGAAGAATGTGGAAATACATGGAATGCGATAGGTATTCAGATGAATGATGGTGACAATGAAGAGTCTCATCCTAACCTTTGGAAAAACCTGCCTCAAAGGTCATTGTCATTGCCTCACTCCCAGTTACGGGCCCTCCTTGCCCATTCGATCACGCTCATGTTCCTCAGCTGCTTTCTCCAGCTCCTACTTAATCAGCAGTGGGTCTGCAACCCCCACTGAAGTTCTACCACCTACACACACACACACACACACACGCACACACACACACACACGCCCCTTACACACACATCCACACCACCACGTCTTTGCTGATATTTTACTGCCTCTAAGAATGCCTAGTGTTCTTCTTACTACAAAATCATGTCCACCCTTTCCTTTAAAACCTGCCTCTCCAGAAATCCCCACCTCTTTCTGATAAATATTCTCACAGTTCCAAATACAAACATGTATATGCACATATGTCACGAAAGGCACTTTGACTTTGGAGCAGATGGGCCTGGGTTCAAATCTGGCTAAGAGATCAGTCACTTAGCTTCTCAGAGTCTCGACCTCCTCTTCTGTATAATGGAGGCACTCATAATGTCTTCCTGGCAAGGCGATGATAAGATTAGTACCCAGAATTCAGGAAGTATTCAATAAAAGTTAGTCTCTTCCCTTACGTTTTCATTTGCACATTGACTTTCTTCCTCCAAGAACTCTCAAGTTTCTGTGTGTTCAGATGAACACGTGAGTCCATGTACCTGTCTCCCCCTTTAGAACTGAGGCTGAGGGTGTCAGGGCTGGGCTATGGCTTGGCATATACCCGATTCTCAAAATCTGGCAGACATGGTGAGGGGAGTGAGAGGAAGATAGGTCAGAGGGCAGTGGCTAAGCAGAGGTCCTGGTGGTATCAATGGAAGGGGCTAAGAAGGGAAAGGGGCACCTGGAGGGAGAGTTTGGGGGTGGGATTCAGACTTGGCAGAGTGCGGACACCAGTAGATAAATTGGTCAAGGAAGGAGACTGAGGTATGCACCAGATGGGAGGGGGCAGGACTTCAGCTCTCAGAAACTACTGGGGAAGGGATAGCTGAGGGGAGAACAGGAAACTTCACCTTTGTGGCCCCCTGTCCACCTTTTGGGTGAGGTGACTCCTGGGGCCCCCCCATGCCTAGGGCCTTCTCCACTGATGGTCTTGGCCACAGGCCTGATCCCATCTCTCTCCAGTCCCACCCACACCCTCGACACCTCTCACCTCTTTCAGGTTGAACCTCATGTGATGACAGAGGATGTGGAAGGGGGACTGGGTGCCTCCACCCTGAGGGTGGTAGCCTTTGACCCAAGAGGCCTGGAAAAGCCTTGGGTAGCCAAACTGGTAGCGGGCAGGGAGGGCGAAGCGCAGCCCACGTTGGTCCCCGTAGCGGTGAAGCAGGCTTAGCACAGAGCTGCTCCCAGATTTATGCGTCTTCAGGAATACTAGTCGCTGCCGGGGAGGACAGGTTGGAACAGCCGGTCTTGGGGATGGGGCCCAGGGCTGTCGGAGCTGCAGCCCAGGTAACCTGGGGAGAGACGGGAGGGAAAGTACCCTGTCCCTCGCCAGCAGGTGGATGGGCGTCTTGTGGAGCAAGGACAGAGGGTGCAGAGCCTCCTCCAAGTTCCCAGGAGTCACAGCCCCAGATAGGATTGGGAGGAGCAAATGGCGGTTGGGGGGGAGGAGGGACATCTATCAGGCATTGGGACAAGATGAAACTCACCTCCTTTGGAAGGGCCCACCCCAGAGCTGGAGGGCAAATCCGATGGTCATGAAGACTCCCAAAGCCACCCCCAGGCTCCGAGGCCCCCAGAGGCGCATGGTCCTGGTAGGAGACAGAGGGCCCATGTGGCACAGGGAAGGGTGACAGGGCGAGGGCCAGGCAAAGAGGCAGAGACAGCTGTGCAGCCACAGAAGGTGCAGATTCGAGATTGGGGGTCATTCCCCAGGCCTGTTTGCAGCCCTGGTTGAGTCTGCCCCCTGAGTTAGCAGATTTTTGCCTCTGTCAGCGTCTAGAAGGGAAATGAGGGGAAGGAGGGAGTCTAAGGAGAGGGTAGAGCCTTCTCTCCTGCTCTGACAGCGAGGACTAATTCAGAGGAGGGTGTTGGTGAGGGTGTGTGCTCTCTACACCCAGATCTAAGTGGCCCCACAACTACTCCTCTGCCGTCTGCCTCCAGCTTCTCCAACCGCCTATAGTTTCTCCCCGAGCCTCCG